TCTGTTTTATTTATTCATTTGAAATCTCATCGATTTTTTACCAAAACACTTTTAAATGAATATTTTTTAATTAAATTCAAGCACTTCACAATATATTTCACATTGTATAATAATTATAAATAATTTCTTCTTTTTTTTTTTATTATTTTTAAACTTTTATAAATTTTAATTAAATTTTTTTGCATGTTCCGAATATTCATTTGAAAAAAAAAAAAGAAAAAAAAACAAAGGTAAATTCTTCTTCTGACGATAATATTAACTTTTCCAATATCTCGACTAGGTTTTCCGTGATCAACTAGTCTGTACAAGTAGTTCTCGTTCGTGACCGGACTTGTCGAATCCTTTTGAAAGTACTCGCTCTAGAGAAGTATTCAAGAACGATTAGGGGAAATGGATATATTGTCAGGAAGTTTGGCCGCATGCAAACGACAGTTCTAGCTGAGTTCTTCGAATGGTTTGGTCTCGCTGCTTCGATTTTACCATTACGAGCGTGTGGTCGCTAAAGTGTCACGCACTCTGATGTATTATATACAACAACAAAATTATAAAAATTAAAAAATACAAAAATACAACTTTCAAATACATTTGTAAAGAAATTTATTTTAATGAGAATTCATTTGTTTCTTCGTTGGACAAAACTACATTTAATAATAATGTTATAGAATTAAAAATATGAATTATTTGAATTTTTCAAGTGAAATTTCTTTCCAGAGACAGCGAGTGACAGAGAGAGAGAGAGAGAGAGAGAGTACTGAAAATATTCAAGCGAGATGAAAAAGTAAAAGGTTTTGAGGGAAAAACGTAATTTCAGTGCTGAGGGGAAAGGAGAAACGGAGTAATATCGATTTGGCAAAACTTATGGGAAACGACAAGAAAGATACAAACTACAATATTTAAAAAACGACACGAAAAGTGCAACGATGTTATTCGTAAAAATAATTTAACAAATGTTTTACTAGTACGATGATAAAAAGAACAAGAGAATCAAATTGATGGAATACAAAACTCAACTGGACTTTTATGATACAACTCTATATATCTGAAATCATTTTCATAGAATATCATGAATGTATAATAAATCTTTCTAACAAATAATTATTTTACAAATTATTTGACCTTTCGTCATTTTTTCGAAACATCTTAACTAGCAAGAGAGAGAGAGAGAGAGAATAGATTAAAAACATTAATATACTCCACTTATTATAGAATCTAAGAAATATGATGTATTAATGATGTTTTAATATGCACATACTTAAACGTATAATAGATTATGCTTATCAAATATTTGACATACATTTAATAATTATTTTTTATTAATTTTAGTCGAATATATATATAATTAATATATTATCTAAATTTGTCCAGTAACCTATATATATATATATAATATATATTTAATATATATTTAACTATGTATATGTATTTTAATTAAATTCTATAAAAAAATTCAAAATTATAATATATTTGAGAATTTTAAGAATTTTGTTATTTATCGAGTACACTTTTGAAGTATTTAATCGTTCATTTCGAAATAAATTTCTGACGCAGTAACCTATCTCTGTGTTGAGATCCGTTAATCGATATTGCTTACGATGTAAGCAATACAATTTGTACGGTTCAACGTAAGCATGGTCGATCTAATATCGATGTATTAGAATATTATAAATGTTCGTTTAAATTCATTAAATAATTAGTGCAATATATAATCAATATACTTAACATTTCTCTTTAAATATTTAATCGTGTTAATAGTAATGAGATCGAGCATTAAAAAAACGAGCAAAACGATTCGATGTCGTTTCAAGAAACCATGTAAATTTTTAATTAGTTTATCAATCGTGAATTTTTCGATATTATCAATAAATAAGCAAAAAGATACATCAAATTCGCGAACGTTAGCTGTCAAGTGATGGCTAAAAGTCCAGTTTTTTTTATTAGGGCAGCCATTTAATGAAAAGAATCTTTGGACGGTTATGAAAAAAAAAAAAATTCATTTTCATATTTTTAGAATTTTCAATAAAACGTTACTTCGAGGCTGTAATATAACTTTACACCAAATATTTCATCTTTCTCATTCATCTTGTTTAAATTATTATTCACCAAATGACTTGTAATATCTCGAACTCGTTTATATGAATTTTTGTTAAAATGTTGTTTTATGCGTTTACGTATGTTAATTATGTTTTTTAAATTAATATTTTCAGTACAATATATTAATTTCTTTTTTCTCTCTTTCTACGCTTTGTTTGTTCTCATCGATGCGTGTACCCAGGTGTTAAACGTATGGGGAAGGAAAAATTTGCATTGGTTAAAACCCATTAAGTTTTCCTTTGGCGGCTGTCATTACGCTTGTTGCACGATATACTTTGCACCCACACATGTGGCATATTAGTTTATGTGATAATGAACAAATCAATCTCTCTCTCTCTCTCTCTCTCTCTCTCTCTCTCTCTCTGCTACGGTCCTTCGTATTCGCGTTTGCTAAAGATTAGGATCTTTTAAATGCTAATCAACATTTTATTATTTTTATTTAATTAATAAACTCATTGTATTTTTGTCATTTAATTGAAAGTCGAGTCCTCTTGCAGTTTTTTAATTAAATTAAATTAAAAGTCCAGTTTTTACGGTTTATTTTTTTTCCTTTTTTATCGAATTAAATTTAAATTCGTGTCCTCGCATTTTTTCTTATTGAATTAATATAAAAGACGAGTCCTTTTATTTTATATATATATAAATTAGAATTTTGTCTTATTGTTAAATATTTTTAATTAAATTATAGTCACGTTTATTTAAATTGTACGGACGCTCGTGACTTGTAGCAGCTTGCACAAAAGGATGCATTTGGATATACTAAGAGTGTAATTTTTTAAATAAAAATAATCATTACAAAAAAATGTGTATACAGCGATGAGCAAAACTATAAACATACTTTGTCAAATTTTTAAGAATATGTATATTGATTTAAGAAAACAAATAAAAAAGTTTTACTTCAGTCGCGTGTGAATTCTACGAGCTTTTCTTTTTTTAACTGCAATTGTAGGTAAGAATAATGATCCAAGACAAAATGAATACAAATCGTTTCCACGTTTGGCACGATTTCTATTTTTTAGTAATAAAATTAAACCCTTAATTTCCTTGTGTATTGCTCTTTAACTGGGTTTGTTTCACATTCCATTGAGTGCAGCCGATAACTTCATTTCAAAATAGTCCAGGCTGATTGTGCCTCCAGGACTTTTTCTTATTTTGATTATTACCCGTTATTTGCACCAATTTAATGCATGCAGCGTAACGAGCAAACGCTTTGATGATTGGTTATCCAGCTTCTGCTTCATGACTTTTTCCAGAGCCTCGGATATCTGCAGTGGTCAAAGTCAAATCTATCGTACTACTTTTACTTGGTGTAATTTTCAATGGAACGACGAATAATAAATTTCAAGTTTTTATCCTTTCATTCTTTCATACATTCTTGTTTTTTAATGATATCATCAATTGTTCGTACATTCCATTAATTATTCAATAATTACAGCTTTTTTATCTGGCCTTTACTTTACGACTTTTTATATCAATTCTTTTTATATCACTTTGTATATATATATATATATTAATTTATTGAGTTTTCAATGAAAATGTTAGGAAAGTAAATTATTTGATATATATCCCGCTTTCAAAATTGATATCAATAGTTAGTAAATCAATTTTACGATCCCATAAACTGTTGATAACTAATCGACGCGAATTATTAACTAACTGTTGCTAACTTGTTATCTTAGGGCAATCTGTGAAAACTTATCGATTTATCCTTGAGAATGATTTAATATCTTACCGACATCTGGTAACTTATCAACGCGTAGTAGAAATTGTTCTTATCGACATAGAAATTCAATAATTTTCTATTTTTTTTTTTTTCAAATTTCTTTTTTTACAAATTTTTCGAGATGTTTTAAGAACACAAATCATTAAATTCAATTGACAGATTTTTGAAGATTTTGATCTTTCAATGTAAAATAGACAAATAGGACATCAAAATTTCGTCATTTAGTTACAAAAATATCAGTTTTCAACAAAATCAGGATATTCCAGTCGTTTATTTTCGTGAAATACTTTTGATAAAAGCACGAACATAAAACTCGACATTGTAATATATCCTCGTCGTTCCAACCTTCTCTATGCACGAATCGTGGGATTTCTGTGGTAGAAAAAGAATGAAGGAGAAAGATAAATTGGATGGAAAGTGCAGAGGAGAGAGTGAGAGTGTGTATATGCGAGAGAGAAAGAGAGAGAGAGAGAGAGAGAGAGAGAGAGAGAGAGAGAGAGAGAGAGAGAGAGAGAGAGAGAGAAGAGANGAGAGAGAGAGAGAGAGAGAGAGAGAGAGAGAGAGCGAGAGAGAGAGAGAGAAGGGGTGAGAAAGTTTATGCGCATTCACGAAAAATATTCCCCTAGCATGCATAATCAGAATAGAATACACTTCCATTAAGTTTGTATCATCTATTCGCGAACACTTTCTGGAATGACTTTTGTATAATAACATTTTTCTTAAATCTTAGTGAATAACTTTAGACACTACCATGTTCGTCAAAATAAAGTTCGATCTTTTAAGACGTGAAGCATAACGTGATTCACGGTTTCAACGATGCTCGACAGTGTTTCCCTCGTAACTGTCGGAAGTTCATCGTTTTGGCGTTTAACGTTGATAGCTTTCGAAGATCAACCGAGCCATGTGGCGAGAATGTAAGTCGAGCGAGAATATTTAAACGAAGTATGTTGGAGAAAATGTGGTATAAGGTAGAACACACGAGTAAACGTACTGGTAAACTCCAACTAACTTATATTCAAGTAACTTTAGTGCTTGCAGTTTTATGAATGTGCCCCTATTAAGTTGGACTATTAATTTTTCTGCATATTAAAAAAGAAAAACAATTTCCATTCGACAGAACTCTATAGTCAGATAAATTAGGTTTATCAAAAAAGGCTTAGAAACGTAATACAACAGATCAACTCACCCTTGATAAAATCTACCGCCATTTCTAAGCCATAGGTGTCCTTATCGCAGTCATCGAGTATATGTGCTCCTATTTTGACCCCGGGGACGATCTCTCGTTGATTGAGCGTGTCCAGAGTGTAAAGCATGGCTTCTAATGCTTGGACACCACCCTGAGGCATAATAGGACCACACTTCACTGAGTCCTCTCTTTCGTGAACCATCATTAAACCTCCTAAAACGAGGTCACCCTCAACCACTGCGCTATGTTTCACTGGCCACGGAGGTTTATTCGTTGAGTTATGATCATCGTTAATCGATTGTTTGTTCACCGAAACATTACCTATCGTTGTCTTTTCCAAAGAAACCGTACTCAACCATACTGAACTTGCACTCGTCGTATTTTCGAATTTTTTATCCATTGTATTCTCATCAATCGATATTGTTGTAAAAGTATCGATCGACTGAGAGGTTACAACGTCAGAAAAGGGATAAGTAAACCCTTCGATCTCGACACTGGAAAATGATCGATCGGTCAAACTATTCGGAATTCTGCTCGTCCTTTTGGATTTCTCCGTCATGGAAATATCCGTCGTTCCTCCCATGGAATTTCCTCGAGGCGAATAAGTTTCCAAGTTTTCTTCTTCGGTTATTGTGACCGAATCAAGGAGTTGGTTTCTTATAGATGTATTGAAGTTTGTTGACAAATTTATCGTCGGGTCAGTATTACTTTCGATCTTCTCAGTTGATTTAAAACGCTTCTTTTTTGACAATAATAATCTACTCGATTTGGTAGATTTTTTGTTAGAGGATACTTCTTGTTCGGTCTCTTTTAAAGTAGGTGGAAAACTCGATGTGAATTTATTTTCGATTATTGGAAGCTTCATTCTATTAACTTCCCCTTTATAGTCGCTTACCTCAGAATTTGTTCTTTTAATAGTTTCTTTTCTTTCATCCGTGATAATATTTGGGAACGTTAATGGCGTCAATTTAGGAAGATCGTTCAACGAAATGGTCGTATTTTCTACCATTTGTTCTTCGTCCTTTAACCAGAATTTTCTTTGAGAATCTTTACTTTTTATCTTCTTCTCGTGGTAACGCCTTTTTCCTTCCCCCTTCTCCTCCTCCTCCTCCTCCTTCTCCTCCTCCTCCTCCTCTTTCACCACTTCCTTCATCTCGTGTCCGTTCCAATCGCTACTTGGATCATCCCTTAGTTCTCCGCCTTTCGTATCCTTTGGAAAATAAGAAGTAGAATAGTCGACCGGCCTTGGACTGACGAAATCTCCAGAAGGATCGCGTACGTTCCTTTGAGAGTCCTTGAAAGACCGAACTTGTGAGTCGATTTCGTGGATGGACATCCTACTCGAATTTAACCGATCCGAATCTGATGTCGTATCGTCGTATTTCCGATTTTCCTTCGAATTCCAGGAGGATACCGTGTTATCCTTGGAAACATTCACGATTCTCGTAGATGTAACTTCTTTTTCTTGATCCTTTCTATTCCCCCCATTCTTAATACTCGGAGGAACAATCTTTACGGTTTCCTCCTCTTTTTTCAAATAATTTATCGGAGGCGAAAGTAGAATCGTTTCTTCTCCATTTTCTTCCAGATCTGAACTTACATTTCTCATTTCTTTTCCCGTAACATTTGTCACTTCCTCGTGCGAAAACGTATGACCACCACCACCACCATCACCACCACCACCTTGACCTTCCTCTTTCAAATAGTTTTGCAATGATCCTTCCGTAAGATCAAAGTGTCCTGTCAATTCGAAAAATTCTTTACCAGAACGAATTTCTTTTTCTTGAATTTTCCTACCACCGTAGGATTTGATTTTTTTTGATTCATCTTGTTTTTCTTTGGAAAAGTTCCTTGGAACGACTACGTTCACCTCTTTCTCAGAATTTAAATCCAAATATGCCGTTTCATTTTCTTCTTTTTCCTTCTTATCTTCACTCAAATTTCTTCTTTCTATTCTTTCTCTCATTGTTCCAACTTCTTTGTTCTCAGTTTTCTTTTTCAAACGAATTTCTATTGCATCTCTTCTTACTTCTCCTTCTTCTTCTTCTTCTTCTTCTTCTTCTTCTTCTTCTTCTTCTTCTTCTTCTTCTTCTTCTTCTTCTACTTTTACTTTCTTTAACTCGGAATTATCTTCGTACCAAAGACCAACCGTATCTTTGGAGACTTCTTCACGATCTGAAGACATCACCGACGAAGCTTCTTCTTCTTCTTCTACCTTAGATTCTCGCGTTTTCAACTTAATCGTCTCTTTTGTCGTCGGATAAGAAGGAACAGTTGCATCATTTGAAAACTTATCGACATTTCGACGATCTCGAATGAAACTTTTCACGTTATTCTCCTTTAAATACTTTCTTTTCTTCATATTCTTTTGCATATCGCTTACTTCTTCTTCATTTCCATGAAAAGAATTTGTTTTCTTTTCTCCTATTTTATTTGCATAGTCCTCTTTCGGTCTTACGATTATACGTAATTTATTTTCCTTGCTAATCCTCAAATCTGATTTTGTTTGGTCGTTCGTCTTGATAGAACATTTGCATTCTCTTTGTTCTTTCGTTTTAAAACTGTCAAACGATTTCATGAAACTTTGACTATCCTTAAATCCAGATGATTCTTTTATATAATGTAAATGTTGAATTTGATCATTTTCGTATAATTTATCCTTGTTCCAAGTTTCATAAGATTTGTTCAAAATATTTTGTATATCCTTCTGATCGTTTCCACTGTTAATAATGCTCGAATTATATTTTCTTTTATCCATCGGATAAAAATAAAAATGTCTATCTTTTTTCTTTTCAGACAAGAACTCGTCGAGTTCGTTTAAAGAAAATAATGCCTTACGAGAAGAAGGCAGTACGTTGGATTTCTCGCGGATGGATTCTCGTTTTATCCAGGTACCGCGAAGAATCCGAGAGGATCTTGGCCCTTTCAACCCAAACCTCTCGGACTCCGTGCCCTTCGATCCAGGTTCCTTTTTCCGATTCCTTGAAGTCCGTTGTACGGTCATCGAGTTATTAGAATTCCGATCTTCCTCGGATCGAGAGAATTCCACGTTATTTCTCTTCTCTCTTTCTGTGATTTTCCTTCTATTTCTCTTTTTTCTACCTCTTGATTTAAGGTACTTTATTTCCTTCACTCCATCAAATGCATTCATTGGAATAATACTCGCTAATCCGGATTTGTTTTCCATTATATACTTTTGATCCTTCTTCCATACTTTTCTTTCTTCTTTTTTCCTTTTTCTCAACCAAAAATATCTTTCCTTAGGTTCTACTTCAATCGTCCAATAACGATTTATATTCTCATCGGATAAATCGATCTTATCATTTTCATAACTAGGTGTTACGATATAACTGACATCACCTTTATCAATAGAGTAACCTTTGTTATCATCGTCGTAATTAAAAGTCCTTCTTTCTTGTGCTAAAGTAAATCTTAATATCGATAAAATCGTTAAGATCGTACGAATCGTTCGGATCTTCAAGTTGATCCTCCGATTGGCCGAAATGGCCGAAAATCCTTGATTTCGAGGCATCACCGATCCTCACCGATGCAAACTCGAGCATTGCTTGATTTCTGAAAATGTTCAAATCACCTTTATTAGAATTTTATTCAAGTATTCTTCTCCCTTTCAAATCACTAATATTAAATATTATAATGTTCAGGATCATTTTTCAAAATTATTATTCATTTGTCTCGAAACTTTGTACAAGAAGTAACCAAAGTATCTTTATCAAATATTCGATTGAATTATTTAAAAAGAAAAGAACTACTTTGATTTTACAAATATATTCAATTAAAATACTATTATATACCATTGTAATTTTGTATTTCTATTTTGACATAAGTAGAAACTTATCTAAAAGTTAGATTATCTATCTGCATATACGCGTATAGTTTCAACTATACATTAAATATCATTTCAAACTTCGAAGGTAACTTTATTGTAAAGATAATGTCGTTAAGATAAGTATTTGAAATAAGATAAACTTTGATGTGTGTTAGATCTTTCAGATCTATGATTTTCTCCAAGACAATATCAAATAAAAAGATCGTTTTCTAAAGCAATCCTCCTCCTCCTCCCCCATTCCTGTTCGTTTCTTCTTTATCCTGAGAAAAGAATGATAAGAAGAAAAATATAGGAGAAACAAGAGAAAGAGAGAAAGAGAGAAAGAAAGAGGAAGAAGAGATTTATAGAGCATCGAGTTACGTGCTTCGAAACAATGTAACTTGTTTCTCGGAGTAACTTGTGAAATATAACCAAGCGAAATTCATGTTATTTATCGAAACTTTGTGGGTTAGAATTTCGTCATAGGAAACGTCGCTATAAACTGTCGAAGGGATTCCAAGTAAAGTGGACTCTCTTCGTTCAGTAATCAAAACGGACGTTCATAAAGTTTTAACTGGCTGAACGAGCGAACGAATGAACGAACGAAGGAACGAGAACGGTAACTCGAATGATACATTTCAACCTATATACCACCTAATTGAACATGGCCAACTAGATAGATTGCTTAGACACAACCATTTATTGCATTCAAACCTGTACATGTATGTAGGAATACTATTTGTATTATAGGAATCAACGAAACGTATAAATATCCATTTAATTTTACCAACGAATAAATTTCTTTTTTTTCTTCTTTTTCTTTTTGTATTTATTATTTCAGTGTCGTTACTGTTAAATAAGTTGTATTATTGGTAATAGCTTTTTTGCAAATAAAATTTAGATGTCGGGAAAAAGGTTTTCTTTTTATACATTTTTAAGAAACCATAATGGACAGACAAATCACAAGCTTTATTTAAAGTTGCTTATTTATTTTTTATTAATATTGCTTATTTAAAGTTGCTGACGTCAGTCAATATGTTTCATCTCGATATAAAAGGGTCATCAAAATTAAATAGTAACATATCAAAAGAGGTTGATATTCAATTCGAATTATTGAATCAAATCTCAAATATTTATTTTCCTCTTTTAGCTATCAGATGTGGTCAAATATTTGTCTCATTTATTTATTATTAAAAAGAAAATAACAAAGAGTTGTAATTAAAATATAAAATACTATCTTTTCTTAAGACAGCTGATAAACATGTTGATTTAAGATGATCTTATCTAATATATCATCGCATTAATTACGTCTTGATATTTATAGTAATACGTTGGTTCGTCATCAATTAAACCGCGAACGTTTAGATACGACACTTTAATCTTATCCGTAAATTCCAGCTTCTCGCGTTGAGAAACGTCGGCGACGTGAGAGAAACGCGAGTTGGCTGATCGATAATTTCGTACGAGCTGCTTATTCCGGCAACACACTCACACACACACACATAATTTGAGGTCGAGTCACACATAATTTTAATTACTTCGATGGGTAATGGCTTTGCATATATGTATGGTATATGATCATCAACCACGAAACTTGACAAGCATTATCGATTGCAAGTAATTATGTCATGTAAAATGAATTTCACTCAGATCGTGAGAATCACTTCAATTGAATATAATTAAAATTTCAAACTTCATGTTTGTTTGTATGTGTGCAAATTATAATTAGTAACGACGATTGATTCTTATGTGGTTTCTCTTTTGTATTATATAAGCGACTTATGAACTTTTAACTGACATATTTAAGTCGAGACAAAAATTGTTATAGTTAAAAAAATTATAACTAATATTTGAAACTGTTAATTTATTATAACAACGGAAAATGATTATCATAGATGGATTTGAAATTTCATTTGAATACGTTATAAGGATAAACTCGTTTGCTACGCTAACGTATCTTGAATTTCATTTTCCTGTGAAAACTTTGCAAGGTAACTTATCTCTTCTCGCGTATATAGAAAAAAAAAAATCCTTAAATTCAACATGATTTGCGCGAGAACACGATGGATGGATGGATGGATGGATGGATGAAGAAGAGAGAAGAGAGAGAATCCGCGGGTTTTAGTCGAAAACCCGGTAGAGAAAAGTCTCAAACTCTTCTTAAGTTTTTCGCACATGTTAGGCATTGGATGAGTGATGAATGGCGAATTATACGAGGAAGAACTTTCTTTTTAACGCTTGTGTGCTTTATTTAAGACTGTATATATTACTTCTTTGTATAACTCCTTGATATCATCTTTTGTAATAACGAGTTTTATTAGTCGACGAGGAACCTAATTAATATCAGACAAAAATTTATTTACTTCGTCGTTAACTTTTTAGTCTATAAAGTTTTGCAGTACTTTCAAATATTACAGCAGATGCACAAATTTACTCTTTCACGGATAACTCTGTTTTAAATTTTTTAAAAGATACATAAATTTGTTAAAAAAATTTTTTTTTTTTTTAAGAATAAAATATAAAATATATTTTGACGAAGCGTCGTCTTCGTATCTTCGACGTGACTTTTTCGTTTCCCAGATATGCGATTTGCAAATTATGCCAACGTATATTATTACATTGCGCATGGATAATGGTGAATAGTAAAGGAAAGTAATGTAATAAAATTTAACGACTATACTAGTTACTTTTGTTCATTCCCATAGAGACCAAGAGAACCCTTGAGTCCTTTCAATTCTATCTCCATACCTTTTTCTTTTCTTTGTATTCCTAATTAGCTCATTGAATCATTTCAAACAATACGTACAGAATATCATTGAACAAAATTTTTTTTCTTACAATTAGTATAATATCTATATATATATATATAGAATTTAAAGAATAATTAAATTTAATTAAAAAGTAAGAAAATAATCGGTCTGTTTAATCAAACCAAGTTTAGGATCTATGAGTGATCATCCAACAAGCAAAGAATCCGTTTCTTTCTTCAAACTTTTTTTCGCCACTTGATCAAATAAAAAAAGAAAAAAAGAAATAGAATTCTTGTCAGGATCATCGAAAAAGGAGCCTTCGAGAAGTTTGCAAACATACCGTTTGTGAGATATAGCAACGAGATTTCTACTATAAGGAACGAAGTAAGATTACATTTG